CCTGTGACCACATACCCCTCAAGTTTCACCATGTACAACTCTTATTCCTGGTCACCATGAAAAAAATATTATCTTTATATTCATTGTCCTAGATGTAAATTCTCAATTGTTACTATGCTTAACACAACTCTAATTGTGGTCATTTTTATCATTGGAGAGAAGATTTTATTGTAATTTACTCATTCCTTCTATTGAAAAACTTTAACAACAAATATGGCCTTGCAACGCTTACTACCATCATGTTTTTTTTTTCAGCCAGTGAACTCATTTATTCCGCAGTGCTTTCTTGTAATTTGATTTTATCAACTCTCAAGTCCAATTCACCTTAAGCGAATGCATCTCATCATCTATGGCTTGTTCACACTTTTTTAAATCATCAATTTAAATGACCTCATCATAATACTCTAGATCACCACCATCTATTATCAATAGATAGTATAATGAAGGAGAATACCTTGGTGCTGGTCGATAAATTCAACTATATCTTCTAACATCAGTAGCATGGGTCTGAGGAACTCTCTGTGTTTCATAAGCTTAACCACACATCCTATCTTTGTCTTTTTTACCATCCTCCTCCATTTCAACATACTTGGAAGAATTTTTTGGAGTCTCGTTTCTATCATTATACATTTCATTGTCTTTGAATATGACATCTTTGCACTTGATGAATTTATGATTTTGATAATCCCAGAATTTAAAGTCAAATTCACTTGAGCTATATCAATTGAACATACACTCAATAGACGTTGGATCAAACATATTCCTAGAAAGAGTTTTAGGTTAGATGAGCTTACCTCCATACCACTCCAGACTTTCTCAGGTAAACACTCAATCAGAGAAATTGATAGACCATGATTGATCAAATAAATTTTAGTATCCATTGCATCTGCCTAGAACTTTTTTGTAAGACTAAAATGCAGTTTCATGCTCTTGGTAAGCTTAGTGATAGTACTATTCATGCGCTTTACAAATACAAAATCATGTGTGTGTGTTCTTGGAATAGAGAACTCATGTCTGATCTCATTCAAAGCATAATACTCTTTAAACTTCTTATCACGATATTCATCACCATTATCTGATCTAAGATATTTCGACTTCAAACCTTTCTCATTCTCAATAACGGCCTTTCATTTCTTAAAAAAACATCAACACAACTGATTTGTATTTTAAAAATTTACCAATAGATTTCTGATGCAATCATCTAAAAGTAACAAATATAAAGACCTTTCTATAAAAGAAACTTGAGCAAGACCTCATACATCAATATGCACAAACTCTAATGTGTTTAACTTAACCTTTGAACAAATCTTTGAAAAACTAATCTTTTGTTGCTCGTCATATACACAGTCTTCACAAAAATCTAAATCTATAAATTTTAAACTAGGAAGCTTTCCTCTAGTAAGAAGTGAATGCATACATTTCTTATTCATATGGCTAAGGCTACACGATGCCAAAGACCTCTATTAGCATCTTAATCAACTACTCCAATAGAATATGATCTTTTGTTGAAAACATATGGGGCGCCTTCAATGGTGCCATGGCTATAAACGGAACGCATTTTATCACCTTCCATGAATCTCCTGTAAATGATATCATATAGTTTGAGTTTGTAAGTCGACTCACAAAAACTAAATTCTTTTTCAGACAAGAAACCAGCTTAAAATCCTTGAGTCTTTAAATTGATCCATATGAAATTCTCCTATCAACATCTCTCTATCCTATAAAACTGCAGGGCTTATTGTCCCCCATATATACTTTATCCACATCACATGGATTATAGTTTATGAACGCATCCTTGTTAGAACTTGTATGAAATAAAACATATGAATTTATAACTCAAGATTTAAAATTATTCACAGATAAAATCAAAGAATCACTCTAAAATACTTCAATAAATAAATTTACAGAGTGACTTTTATATTAACCTTAACCACTAGCTTTCTTAGGAACAATACAGGCCTTCTTCAAGTGAACCCTTATTTTCACAATTCTAGCACATAACTTTTAATCTAGAAAAGTAAATTTTTCTCATGGATTTAAATCTTTCTCTACTTTAATTTCTGTCTAAACCCCTTCCTCTAGTTTCAACATTTAGAGCAAAATTTAAAAATTCATCATTCGCATTCCTACGAATCTCTTCATTCAGCACTAATTCCACAATGTCCTCAAAGTTAAACATTAAACTTTATGAAAAATTACTCACAATAGTAATCAACCCATCTCAACTATCTGAAATACAAATAACACCAGCAATACTCTCACGTTATCATCAAACTTGATACTAACAAAGCATAACTTCATCAAAAAACTTTGTTTGAAGTCTATGACTTCCCAAACATCTTAGTTAGTGAAATGATGAGATCGACCATAATCTTCTCATTTACAATGTTTAAAATCATAGATGAGAAAAGTAAAAGTTGAATCAAACATAAGCCTATCTGGTCATGAACCTCTTATTCCTATACAATTATCAATTCAGGCTTTTTTGTGATTCCAACTAACAATAAAGAAAGTTTATTTTGATAGAACATATCTTTAATTTGCATCTTCCAAAAAGTGAAGTTTGAACTATTGAACTCCTAAATCTTGTATCTTGTTTCATCAACCATTACTCCCACTTGAATCGAAGAATGTGACTTTGATACCTGTGATTGAGGAAGAAAAACCATTCAAGGAAACAAAGAAGAAAAGGAAATAGCATAAATGAACACTAGGATTTAATGAGGAAAAACTCAAAATCGTGAAAAAAAAAATGAAGCCACACTACACTAGGAAATTCACTATTAAAATTAGGAAAAATTGTACAAATCTCTCTCTCTCTCACCCTCTCCATGTCTCACTTCTCTTTTTCTCACTATTCTACCTCAAAACTAACAAAAAGATATACTTCTACAATATGAATAGACACAATACTTCAAGTTAAACATGCAAAAAAAGAAAGAAAATTGCCCATCCCTACTTGCAGTGCAAGGTTTAAAGTGGCGCTCCACTCTCCATCTCTAGCCCCAACTCACATCACTAGATTGGGAGAGCTATCATGCTCTGCTTTATATCTCCAAATCAAGACTATAGTGCTACCACGCTGCATCCTACTATGTTATAGCGCACAAGTGTACTATACTGTAGTGCTCTAATGTACAATAACGCAATGTTGTATAGTTGTACGAAATAAATTCAATGACAAGGCCCCTCTGTAACCCCCCTGCGAGCTCGACTAACAGAATTGTGGTTTGAGTTAATAGTACAACTCGATTGATCGGCAAAATCAAGTTCCACACAAAACTAACACTAGTCGTATCAAAAAGAAGAATATCATCAACAAAAAGCATATAGCAAGGCACATACTCTTGTAAATGTCTAGTAAATACATCCATTACTAAAACAAAAAGATATGAGATTAAAGTTGATCATTAATGTAATCCAATTGAAATAGGAAAATACTTGTTTAAACCGCCTTGTGTTTGAACACAAGTAATAGCTCCTATATACATATCATTAATGACTTGAATAGAAGAATTATTAACTCCTTTCGTTTTTAGAACTCTCTGGAGCACTTCTTTTTGCACTTTATCATATGCTTCTCTAAATAAATATTTATCATATGTAGATCCTCTTTACTCTCTCTATACTTCTCCATCAAACCTCTCAATAAATGCATAGCTTCCAAAATAGACCTATCCAAAATCCAAACTGCTTTTAAGAAATATTAGTATCATGTCATAACGTATGCTCAATTACTCTATCCCATAATTTTAATATATGAGACATTAACTTAATTCCTCTATAATTCAATATGATGATATGATGTGGCTAATAATGATGATGAGCTAATGAAGGAAGCAATCTATACACTGAAACACAATTTAGAGAGGTTCAACAATACACAACTTAGAACAGAAAAGAAAACAATAAGAAGAAGAAAAAAAAAGAACTAAAGTTTAAGATCAATATTTCATAGGACAACAATCCTAAAAAGGAATCCACCATCTGAAGAGATAATTAAATAGTGCATAAGGAGTCTTAGGTAAACTAGGATATATAAGAATGTTATTTGGGCATTCATATATAATAGAACAAATCGAATGGAAAGATCAAGACAAAGCTACATGCAACGCTGACTGCTAAGAGGTTGGAGCCCAATACAATATTAGATGGACACCATCAACCATAAACTTATAAATATTTGTAGAATCCTCCCTTCACCTGCGTTATTGATGTTTTATCTCCATGAAATGAATTGAGGGATAAAAAAAGCATTGACATTTCACTCATACAGAAGACAAACATTAAGCCAAATTCATGACAATGTATACCAATGGAGTAAATAATTCAGCTAGAAAGTTGTGGCAAGATTACGCAGAAATATCAGTAATCGAATAAAAGCATGCAAGAGGACAAAGATAGAAACTTCGAAAAAAGCTCAGTAAAAGCATCACTAACGCAATCCTCAAATTGAATGAACTAAACTAGCACAATTATTAGAATCATAACATGCAGCTCAAACCCATCATAAGAAGAGCCCTCTGCAGAATCATCACAAAGCTGTTGAACAATGTAGGCAAAGCACAAAAGAACTGTCAGTTATCAATACCAAGCATAACCTCAACTTCCGAAAAATCAAGAAAATTAATAAAAAACCAGAAAAACTCTAAAGCGTTAGTCAAGAAATTTAGTTCAATTTTTCCGAGAAAAATTTATCTGAGCCAAATGCAATTCAAAATTTAAAAAGTTCCAGATATCTGCACAAACTAAAGGCAGAAGAACCGAAACAGCATTACAAAGTCATAAATCTCAAGCTAAAAAAGCTCAAATTCCCCGCAATCACAAAGTGCACTGACCTCCAACACAAACGCATCAAATCCATACCGCAATGCACCAAATCATAAAGCCATCAGTGGCACATCTCAGATCTACTAAATTACATTTAAAAATAGTGCTGGAGAGAGAAAAGGACACAATGGCTCCGACATGTCGAACAATCTAAAAAAGCAGCGACTCACAACAAAAGTAAGAAGATGAAAAGCGCATCCAAAAAACAAGCATCGTCGGGATCACTGAACCGAAACCTCACCTCCTATATTCTCTTCCCTAGTCGTCAAAAGCTTCCCTTTTGGGCATTGATAATCATAGTTATATTCGGCTTGCTCTCTCACTCGCGGTTGCAAGAATGGTTACGGAGTGCGGGAGTTTTAAAACGCCGAGGAGCAATGGAAATGAGTTTTCTACTCAAGCAAGAAGGTGAATGTACATGCGGTGAGCATACTCCGAGATATAGTGCCGGTTACCGGTTGGCAAGCAGTGTGTCGGTGGTGAGAGGTGACCAGTCAAGCCTGTGTGAACGGAATTACCCCTTAAAATAGAAGAGATATTTGCAGCTATTTTCACCCAAAAAAAATTTTTTTGCAGCTTCCACCTCGACGCTGTCGTTCTTGTGTTGTACTGCTGTACGTGGGCTGGAAGGAGGCTTCTGCACTGCTGCAGAGATCGAGCGGCTTAGGTGGTCGGGGGTAATGCGGTGCAGAGCAATGAGTTAGATCAAAGCCGTCAATTTTTTCCATGCCAGAGAATATTAATTGAGCTGACATTTCACAGAAGCCCAGCAATGCCCGTTGTAAGGTCTTGTATTCATGATTCAATAATTGATAAAATTACCATTTCAAAGAATTTTTTAATGAGACTAGAGTTATTTAATAAAAATTACTACAACAAAATTATAAGTAATTATATGATTTAACCCAAAAAAATAAGAAAACTCATGAGTAAAAAATAATTGTAAAAGATTTAGGAAGTCCCCTCCCCAAAGAAATCCAAAAAGTAGAGCTCACAAGAAGTCATGTGATTTTGAATAAAGATGTATATATGATGATGTCTCCATCCAATGCAACAAATGAAGGCAACATAATTTATTAAAAATAGCTTATCTTGAGAAGCAGGGACAAAAAAAAAGCTACTTGGCTGAGTCACATAGTCAAGTAGGGTCTCATTGATGAGGGAGGGTAATAAGATATAGATCACTGAATTAATCATTTAGTAGATGGGAGACTCTTCTAAGATAACTATAAGAATTAAGCCAAATTTGAAAGTTTTAAATTTTAATTTATGGTGGGGTAAAGTTTAAGAGTTTGAATGGTAGGCCAACATTTATTGTAATTTTTTCAAAATTGGAAACCATATCTTCTACCTGATGGTTCTTCTACTCTAAATATCAAAATCCAGTAAACTTATACTTAATTTGAAGGTGAGGAAGTCCACTTTAATGGGAGTGTTTGGTAAGGATTGATTGATTTGGTAGATCTAATGCACTTAGGAAGTTGTGATTGTCCGTTCTATCCATAATAGGCCAAAATTGTTAATTAGGTTCCCATTTCTATAGATCTGGTTGATTTCTAAATTTTAATTGGAATAGTTCAAGGTCTTTCCCGAGATGATATCTAAATGATGTGAGATTTTTCTTGGAGTTCTAATATTGTTTATTATTTTTTTTTCACTCAAAATGGTTACAAGACTAAAATAGCAAACAAAAAAATAAGACTTTGGATGAATCATTCTCCAAAATTTTGACTAGAATAATCTCAAATAAATTTAGCATTATTGAATTATAGGATATTTAAAAAATATTCGAATATTTTGCTTGATTTTTATGGCGTTTTGGTTATTCAAAATACTTGCAAGAGTGGAACTAGTCCAACAAAATTAAAAAAAGTTGGCCATCCCTAATAATCTAGATTTAACTTGGATTTTGAGGGATGAAAAGGGATTTTGATATTTCTAAGATACATTATGAATAATAGAACACAGTCACAAAAGATCATAGACAAAAATAAAAAATAAAAATCTATTCGATCACCAAATAGAGGTTCTACAGGATTACTCAATTCTTTTGGGTTGGCTGACAACCAAGTAACTAAACTTCTTAGACTTTCTTTACAAAATGTGTAAATAAGAAAATGCTAATTTATTTCAACTAAAAAGAGTTCTTATAAAACTAACACTACTTGACGAGACACATCTCTTCATTCAAATTTAGAATAATGAAGGGAATTGGAGAGAAAAAGTTACCAACCCCTTGTTTCCTTTGACTTGGTCAACATGCATGAACTACCTACAACACTTTATTCATTACATGCACACTAGAATGGTTGACCCCTGAGTCTTATCCATGAATTAGGCTTAACACATTAAATACTAGCAAAGCAACATACAATACCATGAAGTCCACATAACATTTACAACTTTATACGCATAGAAATACATAAAAACATAACACCAAATACATACAAAAAAAGATGTAAGTCTTCTTGATTTTTTACGGATTGGGCTTTATGTGCTCTGGCTCTAGTAATTGGACCACCTCGATGTGTTATATCATTTCTCTTCGACCTCAAAGAACTCTTCTCTAAAGGTTTAAAGTCTAAGTAGTTATCTTCCAAATCTACTGCTAGCTTCTTGAAATCTTCTCTCATGAGCAAAGTGTCCTTAGTGGATGATTATATCTCCACCTCAATAATAACCTATGATCTCTGTGGTGGTTCTCATATTTGATGATATGGTCCACATAAAAAAAAAAAAAAAAAAGAGGGTCTAAAAAAAAAAGAGTGTCTATTTGGCTTCTATAGAGAATGGTTTTATGTTCATGTAAAAGAGGTATCCTATGCATTTGGGATTAGCTAACTTCTTTATATGATATAAGATCTTGATAAACATTCCTTTAGGCTAATCAATAATATATGCGGTAGTGCTAATTTTCCTAATAATCTCAAAAGTTTCAAATTCCCTATATTGTAACTTCCTAAATGATGTAAAAGGATATTTGATAGGATGAATTCAAATTAACATATGATTCAACAGTTTGAACTCTTTAAAAATTATATCTTTATTTTTAGATTTAGCATATTTTACACTAACAATTTCTAATTTATTCTATATATTATCATGAACATTTATCTTGTGAAAATTTAAAAGTAGAATAAAAAAGGCATGCGAGTGGATGCTAGTAAGATCAATTAGTTTCTTAGGATTGTAACCATAAACTATTTCAAATGGAGTTTTGTTAGTGGATTTAGAAATAGAATTATTATAGGCAAACTCGATAGTTGGCAAGTGAAGGTTTCAATTTCCTAAGCTCTTACCCACCAAACTTCTAAGGAGGTTCCTTAAAGATCTATTGATTACCTAACTTTAGCCATTATTTTAGGGGTGAAATGTTAGAGAAAAGTTTAGTGTGGTAGTCATAAAGTTTCATAATATTTTTAAAACATAAGGCAAAAATTTGGCATTTTTATTAGAAATAATTATGGAAGGAAGTTCATGAATCTAATAATCTCCTTAAAAAATAAACTAGCTATATGTGAAGCGTCATTGTATTTTGTATAAGGTAAGAAATAGGTCATTACGGAGAACCTATCAATCACAATAAAATTATCATCATAACCTCGAGGAGACCTAGATAGAAAATAAAATATATAGAAAGGTCTTCTTAAGGCCTAAAAGGATATGTAAGGCACAATATCTTCCTATATTTTTTGCTTCGTGGTCTTGGATTTTCTATAGATAAATCATAATTTCATAACTCTTTCATAATGTCATAACTCTTTCAATATCTTGCATCAAAGAAGGCTAATAAGATCTTGTAATTTTGTCACAAGATCTTGTAATTTTGATTTCTTGAGTCAAGTTCTGTAAGGGAGTATGCTTGCTTGGTGACTATGCACACACACACTCAAATGAGTGAGATCTAGTCAAATCAATAAGATCAACTTTTCATCTAATCGTACTGGATGATTTTGGATCATCCAGGATGATCCTTTATGATATTGGAAAATAGCTGCCAATGCAAATTTAGGTATGATTTTAAGTTTTAATTGTTCTAATTGTCCCGGACGATCTTGATCATCTATGACGATCAATACAAATCATGTTTAAATTGATCTTATGATTAGGGGATTAATTATGGTTAAATTTTGCAATCGGATCATCTTGGACGATTTGCATATTGTACAGGATGATGTTTGCCGACATACTTGATTTTCCTAAATCGTCCAAGACAAAATACCATAATTTTTCTTCTAATCATTCTGGACGATCCAAAATATCGACTTGGATGATCTGTATAATTTTGTACTGATCATCATGGACTATCCTAATATCGTCCAGGACTATCAGGTCAAATTCTACACATCATACTGGACGATCCTGTGATCGTCCAAGATACGTTTGGGCACCAAAATTGAATTTTTAGGGTGTTTTGAAGCCCTCTTTTTAAGCGCATCGTACGGGATGATTCTGCGATCATCCTGGATGATATTTGGCATTAAAATTAAGTTTTTAGGGTTTTCAAAAGCTCTCTTTTTAAGCACATTGTACGGGATGATCAGGCGATCATCCTGGATGATAATGTCTATTTGGTGAATTTAAGAGCATTTTTTGAGCTCTTATATTTAAGCTTTTTCAAAGACTTTGAAAGTGTCATTGGTAACCATTGAGGCTTCATTTCTTCTGGAGAAAACTTGAAGAGAGAGCTTAAAAGGGAGAGAGGAAAGGATAGAGTTTGAGAGAGGGAGAAGATCCTTGGAGGGGGTTTCAAGGGAGTGTGGAGGGGGTTTTACATGGTTGCTCCGACAAGCTTAAGCCTTAATACCATCAGATTCAAGGCTCATCTTGAGTGAAGTTTTGGAAAGAAGAAGATCGCTTTGGTCTCAAACGACCCAGCTACTCCGTCGCACTGAGGAAGGTGGAAGTGATTTTGTAAGGGCTTCTCCACCTAGCTGTGGGGGCTAAATGAGAGACACTGAGTTTAGTGTAATACTCAGAGGGTGCCTCCAAGGAGTGGATGTAGGTCAAGGTTTGACCGAACCACTATAAATTTGGTGTGTTCTTTCCTTTATTATTTCCACATTTAATTTCGGCACTTTGATTTTCTTTATGGTGAATTTTGGTTTGGTTTAAGTTTTATTTTTTTATTGTGAAATAATTTTTAAAATACCAATTCATCCCCCTCTTGGTTAGCCTCATGACTAGTTCATAAGGGCTTCATATCCCTAACGAACTTTCAGATTGCTATAAAATTAACTTGGTAGAGGATTGTGTTGAAGAGTGTGTAGTGTTTATTTTGATCGATAATGCTTTAGAATTATCTTGAAGTGATGAAGATACTAATGAGGAGATTTAGAATCTAATTATTTTATTGGTGAGACCCCTAGGTGGTTTAGGAAGAAGTA